GCTTGCTAGACTTATTCTCTGACCTTACAATTCCCCAAAGTGTATTAATTGCTCCGTTTCATCTCAAGTGGGGTCAGGGAACCAGACCTCAAGAATATGATAGATTTTCTTGGTTTTTCCAGCATCTACAAGCCCAAACGTGAAGTAAGTCAGTTTAACAATATTTTCTATAACATACTAATCCTCGAAATCCATTTATTTCTGAAAATTGCAGCAAAAGCAAATGTTGTACATTCCCTTTAATCGCACTGTAACCGGCACAGATTTACGCCACTGATTAAGCTCACTCCTTCTTTTTAAGTTGGTCAAATATCAGCCCTTCTGCTACCTGTTCTTTGTATTATTCAGGCCAAAAAAAAGAAAAAAGTTTTGCTTTCGATAACATGCCTCTCAAAAATACTCGAAGATGCACAACCCTAATTTCTTCTGAGCATTCCGGTGCCCATGTGAAGATGTTTTTTGCACATTCTGATGAAAATTATTTTAAGCATACTTCATTACGGTGCTTCCACAAGTGTGCACATGTGGAGTCTCACAAACACTACAGTTACTGTACTAAGTACTGCTCCTCTGTGGCATTAATGTGTATCTTCTCCATTCATGAAAGGTAGAGGGCGCTGTTTACCTTCAGGCAAGTGCCAATTGTCATGTGTGGGCACTCCAGTTTCCCAGAAGACAGTTGCCAGCCCACTTCCTATCAAAATTTACTTTTAGTGGCAAAATAAATACACGGTATCCTTGACCCTCCATAATCTGTGCAGTTAACTGTTTCAGTGCCTGCGAAATTTGAAATGTTTAACCCTAAAGTGCCAAATTTTTCAAAATTCTGTAAAAAAAAAAGTAAATAAGTTTTATTCACTAAATTTGTTGTTGCTCTCTTGGAAAGTCAAAAGTAGTCACATACATAGTAATACACCCTGAAACACTGCCCTGCACACAGGGGAATTCCGCACTTTTTGCAGAAGATACGAATGCCAGTGCTGCGCCCTCTTGCAAGAACTCGAATGAAACAAATAAATACGGGTCATACCTGAATAAAAATGATATTATTGGAAAAGAGTGAGAGTGCCCTCTTGTGATAACATGCTTACTCTACCTCGTACATGTACGAGGTTTGGCAATTATAAGTACGAACATTACCTCATACATGTACGAGGTTGGCAATTTCGAACTAACAAATATACCTCGTACATGTACGACTTTGGCACTGAAAGAGTTAACACTTGTTAAGGCGCGTGCGTTGTCACATACAAATTGAATACGAGTGCGTAGAAATAGGACCGCGTAGCTTTAGGGGGTCTGCCGATACATAGTTTCAAGCTTTCCTTAAAAGCCAGCTCACAATACCGGCAAATTGTATCCTGATCATTTTCTTTTCCCTCATTCAATAAACAGGTCACGTATGTTGTTGATTAATTTTTAATGATCCAGTTTTCTTTGTTTTAAGATCAGTATTTTAGTACCAGCATCATAAAATATTTCTGAAGGTTGTATAATTCTGAAGTTTTAAAATGCATGTTAAAAATGTGTAAATTTCGCTGTGTTTTGTAAAAACCAGGTAATTCAGCTTAAAGCTGCAAATGTGAATGACTAAATGAATATGAAAACAGAAGTCTTGTCAAAAAACAGGGGTGGGCGGGGTCACTAAAAAATAGCATAATTTAGATACACACATGTTTATTTATTACATGTTCCCAAAGATTTGAATGTTTGCATGGTGCACAATCACATGGCCAAAAGATAAAGTTGATAATATCATGCGACAAATCTCTTTTTGAAGTTTGTGATGTTCTGACAAGAACCGGTGGGAAATTGAACGTTTCGGACAGTGTACTGGTATGCTGCCCGCCGACAGGAGATTGAAGGATTCCAACAGTGAATGGGTGCTACACTGGATGCAACATGACGTCTGAGCTTCAGCAGGGGATCCTGGATGATCAGTGAGGCTTGTCATCAGGATGGCATCTAAGAAGCTTGCAGGAGTTGAGAATGATCAGTGAGATGAACTGAAGAGGAAGGTTGCCAAGGTATAGGAGACTCATACATTTGTAGGCGGACTCAGGTGGGGAACTAAGTTGTCCTTGGGTATAGGCGACAGGCTGACTAGGGTGGGGGAACTAAGTTGTCCTTGGGTATAGGAGACCCATAGGCTGACTAGGGTGGGGGAACTAAGTTGTCCTTGGGTATAGGAGACCCATAGGCTGACTAGGGTGGGGGAACTAAGTTGTTCTTGGGTATAGGAGACCCATAGGCTGACTAGGGTGGGGGAACTAAGTTGTCCTTGAGTATAGGAGACCCATAGGCTGACTAGGGTGGGGGAACTAAGTTGTCCTTGGGTATAGGAGACCCATAGGCTGACTAGGGTGGGGGAACTAAGTTGTCCTTGGGTATAGGAGACCCATAGGCTGACTAGGGTGGGGGAACTAAGTTGTCCTTGGGTATAGGAGACCCATAGGCTGACTAGGGTGGGGGAACTAAGTTGTCCTTGGGTATAGGAGACCCATAGGCTGACTAGGGTGGGGGAACTAAGTTGTCCTTGGGTATAGGAGACCAATAGGCTGACTAGGGTGGGGGAACTAAGTTGTCCTTGGGTATAGGAGACCCATAGGCTGACTAGGGTGGGGGAACTAAGTTGTCCTTGGGTATAGGAGACCCATAGGCTGACTAAGGTGGGGGAACTAAGTTGTCCTTGGGTATAGGAGACCCATAGGCTGACTAGGGTGGGGGAACTTAGTTGTCCTTGGGTATAGGAGACCCATAGGCTGACTAGGGTGGGGGAACTAAGTTGTCCTTGGGTATAGGAGACCCATAGGCTGACTAGGGTGGGGGAACTAAGTTGTCCTTGGGTATAGGAGACCCATAGGCTGACTAGAGTGGGGGAACTAAGTTGTCCTTGGGTATAGGAGACCCATAGGCTGACTAGAGTGGGGGAACTAAGTTGTCCTTGGGTATAGGAGACCCATAGGCTGACTAGGGTGGGGGAACTAAGTTGTCCTTGGGTATAGGAGACCCATTGGACTGCTTAGTGAGGATGGGGTACCAGATATCGATAATGGAGAAGTTTACCATTGTCTTGGGATATAATATCGTCCTTGAAGATGGCCTCTGATGCCGCCGGGACGTCTGTGATCGATGCTGGTGACAAGTCATCATTACATGCACAACCATGAATGACAGTAACAATCCCCTGGTTCTTTCCCCCCCCCCCCCTTAATTGTTTAAAAAGTAACAAAAGTGACAAAACATAAAAATTACTAAAAGGTGCCTTAGGCCCCCAAAAAAAGTCTCCGGTTTCTGGTATGCGCGCGCGTCGCCGTAGCCATGCGCGTCGGCAAAATGAAAACGTTTTTTTTTCAATACAAGATGATGTCTCAAAACCGCCAAACTCACTGGTTTGACTGGAATCCTGCTGCTGCACAATTTTAACGTGTTTTTAGATGGGGTTATGATCGAGAATAAGCTTTATGTGGCCTCTCTGGACTCCCATATATTTGCACTAAGTTTAGTCGGGCACCATTTGCAGTCATCAGCCGACATTTGAAGCCAAAAAAAAAAAAAAAAAAAACAGGTTAAAAAAAAAAAAAACGCCGCGTCGCCGCACCACTTCTGGGGCAAGCTCCATACCAGAAACCGGGGACTTTTTTGGGGGGGCCTTAAGCATAACCAGACAAGTACTCAAAAACAGTAACAAAAAGTACCAGAAGAAACATAAATTCCGGAAATAACAGTGAAAAGCCGTCTACAAAATCAACATGGAAAAGGATTAAAAAAACAAAACCCCAATATGCGAAAAGACCAAGACTGTCAATCTAAAGCATGACTATGTATAAAACAAGAGTAAAAAAGCACGAAATGCAAAATATGGCAACAGCAAAATAGGTACTGTACAACAAAGAAACAACAAACCATAAAATACAATTGCAAAAGTATTGACAACTGTTTCAACTGTAACGTCAAAATCAAACACACAAAATAACAGCCGTATCAACTGTAACACAGAAAAAGCCATCTTGAAGTTATGAAGACTGAAGACATGAAAAGGAAAAAAAAGATGCATGCACATAGTAAAACAATTCATGAAACACACCTCTGTGTATAATATTGAAATGTAACAAGTCAAAAATACAATGGGCTTCGTGCACAAACAAGAAAGGATACGTTTTCACCACTTTCGAGAGCCCCTTGGCCTTGGACGGGACATGTCGCATGCGCGCACTGGTTTGCGCGCATAGACATGTAGTTCAAAGAACGCACGGCTCATTATGAGCACGAACCCATGGCGTCAGAGTGTCAGAGACAGGCATCTTCGGCAATGTGTTCAAATGTCTCCAGTATAAGCGGGCTCCCCCAACTCACCCTTTTTTACCATTAGGGGGGTAGTTGTACACAGAGCCCATAAATAAAGTAAAATCTCGATAAGTCAAACCTCAGTGGAATGGGCTCAAATTTTAAGTTATACATGTAGCAGAGTTTTGAGTCATCCAATAGATTTTCTATTCAACAACAATTGATTGTAAGGCCAAAAAAAAAAAAAAAATTTGGTCTCTGGTCAGACCAAAGTTCCGGAATTGACGCGGCCACGCGGCTTTTTTTTTTTTTTCCTTTTTTTTCTTTTCTTCAAGCTTGGATTGTACAGACAAGGCGGGGTACTATTTTGCTTTTTTGGTGTCCTCATGTACATTGGTGTCCTCCATAATTTGCCTTGGTGCTTTCGATCATTTGCCTTGGTGCAATTTCCCATTCCTTGGTGCTCTTTGGTAAAAAAAATTGAGGAGGTGCGGAAATAGAGGGCGCTGTTGGAGCTACTGCGGAACATGTTGGAGAAAAAAAAGATCGACGCGCATGATTAAAATCGACGCGCGCGCTGACCAGAGACCGACATATTTTTTTTTTTGGCCTAAATAAGCTTTTACTTTGAGTAAGCAGGGATTTTGAGTGAGCAGGTTTTGACTTGTCGAGAGTTAACTGTACATTGACTTTGTCTACCATTGAGTACTTACGTGCAACATCTTGGAAGTCAGCATGGAGACTACTCCTTCCATTCCGCTGGCTGCAAAGTTGCCAAATTCCAGCCGATCAGAGTATCCCGCTGTCATGATGCCCATTGTGAACACGGCAAGTATCACAAGCATTTCACTCCCAACCTATGGAGTGAGAAATTACAACACAACGTTAAAACTGTTTCAGTTCTCAATCTCAGACAATCAGCAGGAAAACCAGGTCAAATGTTTCGTGGAGGGCACCCAGGGATATATCAATTTTTGTAGGGGGGGGGGGAGTTAAAAATGAATCATCTCAACAATTCAGTATAATTTTGTTCCAATCAAGATTTCAGGTTTTAAGGGGGGAGGGGGTCAGATATCCACTGGAGGGGGAGAGAAGGAAAGTGCCCCTCCTACAGTTACAGTTACATCTAGTCAAAGTGGGTATTTTTTTCATTTGCAAAAACTGGATTAATTTATATTAGATTATTTCCACACATGCAAATAATCGTCCTTAATGTAGTAGGTCCTGTAGGTACCAGTATCAATGAAACATTGTTGGGTTCAAAACTCACTTCGGTTACATTGGGTTTTACAAAAATACTTATTATATATTTTTTTGTTCAATGTCTTTTTTAAACTTATAAGTGAATGACTTAGGCCTAGGCCTAAATTTGGATTTACAAGTAGAAAAAACCCCAATAATCTTACTTTTTGCGGTGAAAATTGAAAACAGTATAACAGAATACTATGTTCAATGTTAACCTGGCACGAATGAAATACCAAAAGCCAAAATCCTACACATGTACCGGTATACACAATGTTATGGTACATGTATATTTTTCCTTCAGACTGCTATAACAAGAGGCACATGCCATCAAAAAGAACACCAGCATTGTAAAGTTGTATACAGCCAAAGTCTAAACTATTTTCGGACAAGTCTCAATGATCTAAGCTAAGCAAAAAATCCAGCCTTCGCCCCAGTTACTGACACACCAGTTGACAAATCCCTCTGGAAACAGTCACAGTAACTTCTTTATAATTCTGCATTTTCATTCCCAGAACAGATCAAGAATAGGAAAACCCACAATTGTCTGTACAGTCACTCCCCTGTGTAATCGCACTGGACACTGACACCAAAGAAGCCATACAACACACCAGCAAAGGAAAAATGTTTGCAAGAGTCTTGAAAAATCGCCAGAGTAGAAAATTGAACAGAAAGATGTGGTGGGGTTTTGTTAAATGTCTGCATAGCCAACAGAAGACTTAGAAGTCTGTGTTTTTCCTGCAATGGAAAAACGATGTGTAGAGTGAGACTGTCTTGTTAATTTGTTGATTTGTGTTGGGAATGTTGCACACCATCTTTCAGTGGCATAGCATTGTGATGGGGGAGGGGGGAGGGGGTAGGTAGACGTGAAAAGTGGCACTCGTCTTATCCCTTCTGAAAGGTACCGGTAGACAGGGGGTTTCACCTGTCACTCTGCCTCCATATAATTAACATTGGGGAAGGGGGGTGGTGAAGACTGGACACCATCTTCCCATGGGGGTGCTGTTTAAAACGGGCCGTCATGGACACCATTGGACAATAGGTGGCACTTTTTATGCTGGCACAATTGCCGATATTTGGGCCACATTTTGTGAAAAAATGCACTCATGAAAAAGGGGCATTCGTGAAATAAGGGCACTCGTTACAAAATATTGGGGGTGGGGGGAAATACCACCCTTCAAAAGTGATAATCCCCACGTCTTGGGTGAGGCAGGCCGGGGGGGGGGGGGGGGGGAGGGGGGGTGGAAACAATTGATACCGGTAGGTGTATTTTGCTCACTGGCTTTTTACTCAAATAAAATCCTGTAGCTGTAATGTACACTTTGACCATCATTCATTCGTCAATCGTCATGATCATTCAGGTAATTCATTGGAAAGATTCCCATACCTGGCCATCACTTGACACCCTGTGCACAAACTCTATGAGACTGGTCTGAAAATTTTCTTAGTAAATACTTCAAAATTGTCCCTGCTAAATTTGACTTTTTAGGACATATTATCACTTTTTGATGGCTGATACCGGTAGGTCACTGAAGGGAAACCTTAAAGATGGCCAGAAATGGGAATCTTTCCAATTCATCATGTTCATCAAATTCATCATGTTCATCAAATTCATCATGTTCATCATGGTGGAATTTGGCATCAGAACACTAACAGTGCATTCTACTTGTGAATGACATATTTCGTCTGTTTGAAGAAGACACTGCTGAGCAGAAATGTGGGTCTTCGGCCACCAAAACATTTACACATCCTGTCATTAGTGTCAAGACAATGTCTACCCCTAGAACTATGGTAGCGGCGCTCCATAGATGAATCACCAACGGCTTTGTTGACTACCGTACTACGAAACATGTTGTGCGCTTTCTTGAAAATCATGCAATCTTAAGAATGAGCGCGCATTCTTAAGAATAAGCACGCATCCTTAAGAATGAGCACGCAATCTGAAGAATGAGCGCTCTTTCTTAAGATTGCGTAGGAATATCATGTGCGCAATTTATGAATCTTGCACAATCTTAACAAACATTGCACGGCATAATTATGTTAAATGAAATGTATAGCGGTTTAAAGGGGAAATAATTCATATAATGAGGAAAGAAAATGATCTATGCTCCTGTACTCGTATAACTACGATAATTTGAATCAAATTAAACCTGTTATTGCTTTTTTTCTGCCCACTATGGGAAGTTTTGCAATAACGGAGGACAGGGAACTAGTCTGGGAAGTGCTTTGTGTAGGCTAGACAAGTTACAAGTCCCTGTATGTATCATATGCATATCACACACAAAAAAACAATGTCCAGAAGCTGCCAAAATTGCTCTTTTGACTACTGGTAGATACAATCCAGCTCTGCGGCGTAATGTTAGGGGTGTGAAAAATAGCAGTTTAAGTGGCAAATAGCATTAGCGCTATGGGTAGCCCCATAAATGTGGCCTATTTACTGGACTGCCTCCGTAAACATAGGCCACACATCCACATGTACAAAAAACGTGTCGACTTTGCCAGATTTTGACTTTCACATTTAGGCTTACTTTGTAGGTTTTTTTTGCTTTAGAAGCATACTCACCCTCTTTATAGGCTAATCAGAAAGTGCTGCCTTTTTCAGATGTCCATTTTTCGTGAAATACATTTGCACACGTTGCACACGTGAGATACATTTGCACACGTTTGCGTATCAAAATTTCAACGTGAAATTTCACAAAAATTAGACATCTGAAAAAGGCAGCACTTTCTGACTAGCCTATAAAGAGGGTGAGTATGCTTCTAAAGCAAAAAAATCCTACAAACTAAGCCTAAATGTGAAAATCAAAATTTGGCAAAGTCGACACGTTTTTGTACATGTGGATGTGTGGCCTATGTTTACGGAGGCAGTCCAGTAAATAGGCCACATTTATGGGGCTACGCTATGGGATGTCACAGTATTCATTCTCATTCTTCACACATTCTTCATTCTTACGCCCCCCCCCCCCCTTTAATTGTTAACCCAAAAAGCAGAATTCTTTCCGCTACACTAGTATTATTAATTATGTCTCTTCCACAAGACCGTTATCTTGTCGCGCATTCTTAAGAATGTGCGCTCAATCTGGAAGAAGTATTTTTTGCGAAGATTGCGCAAGGATCCAGTTGCGCAATCATAAGATTGCGTGATTTTCAAATTTGTTTGCTGATGAACCCCCCCCCCCCGCCCCTCCCCCTGCGAAAATTCCTGGATCCAAGTTATTCCGAAATGGGATAGGCTCCTTTACACATTTAGTAAAGGTTATCAAAATAGTTCGTATTTGATTGTCCCACCATGCTAACGTAGGTCAGTTTATTCGTTGTAAAACTTCATGAAGTTCAACTCACGCGCATCACGCCAGTCATTGTCGTCCTCCAAACAACACGAACAATGCTCGTTCTACATGACGTTCTATCTTCAATGCATGTCTATAGTCTTGGTTCCCAGACCAAAAGATTCTGACTATTCCTGATGAATCTAGGTCAGGTCAATCTCGTCCCCAGTGCTCACTTTATTTCCAAGAGCGTTTTCAATAGTAAGCCCCGGATAGGAATCTTTCTATCCTCACTCTCAAGGTGTCGAGCAGTACGCGCCAACCACTAGCTGCTCTCTGATACCGCAATTGGCCAGAAATGGATTTATATCGTGTACTTGGTGTTGTTATTCACAACGTGTAGTATGTGTTTTCGCGATCATTCGTCCATGCCTTCTCGAAAATACTCATTTCCTTTCCCCAATTTGTTCATATTAATATGAAATGTGATACTGCAGTTGTCTCGATAAGATCGTAACAGTTAACTTAAAATAAAATCGTGTTTTTTTCACGCCATGCTCGCTTTAGTCTGGTTCCCTACGTCTAAATTGTAGGTCAGTGGCATTGATCTCCATATGGAGATCAATGGTCAGTGGTCAGGCAGCCTCCGTAGCTAAATATAAACATGACGACATTAATGGCCCTTTTTCAAAGCTCGGCTTCGTTTCCGATTTCGCTTTATCACTTGTATGTATTCTGGTTTGTGGTGGGCGTGGCATTTTTTTCACACTGACATTGATGTCCATGGCCGTCGCCAGGATTTTATCTAGAGGGGGGCAAAAATTTTTTTTGCCAAAAAATGCTTCTATTTCTCAACACATTCTCGATTAATCAGTTTTAGAGGGGGGCAGGGACATTTTGCCCCCCCCCCCCAACTCAATAAATTTACACCACTTTGTCTTCGCGCCTCTTTTTCTTTTCTTTTTTTCTTTTTTTTTCTTTCTTCATTTTTTGTGTGTGGCTTTTCCAGGGGGGGGGGGGGCAAGTGCCCCCCTTGCCCCCCCCCCCCCCTCGCGACGCCCATGTGTCCATATCCCATGCTTTACTTCATAAAACTAAATTTTCCAATACTCGCGATTTTTATGGTTTACTTTAACCACGGATCGTAACGAAGACAGTTTTTATTTATTTTGGGCGTCTGCAATCCTCTTAAAAAGGCTTGGAATGTCACTTTTGTGCCTTTTATAATGCAAAAGTTAGGCTACCTTTATGAGGTCTGACTGTGAGTAAACTTGGGAAACTTTTTAAAATGTACAAAATGTATGTGGGGAGATATAGGTTCAACCCTGTAAAAATTGGGTTTAAAAGGATCCTGTTCAATTCACGACTCTCAACATAAAAAAAAACATGCAAATCATGATCTGGATTTGGATCGCGTAGGCAATTTCGGGCCTATTTACCGGCCTGCTACTGGCGCGGCCGTATGCACGGTGTTTTCGAAACGTTGGTTCGATCTTCGAACGTGGCGTCGGGAAAATGTAGGTCCTTGTGTCCTTCACCGTTGGGAAAATCCTAGGCTGACTTCATGCATCCTCGAGCTCGTTCTGTTTATAAGAACTTAAATGCCATAAAATATAAAACACCACACAAACAAAGTGTAGTCCTATTAATTTATGTTTCTAGGCCTTTTTTGAAAGTGACGCCCAACATCGACGGAAACCGCCGCTGGAACGAAGTCGAGGTTTTGAAAACACTATGTAAACAAGTGCAGCTGTTATCTTCTCAACTGCCAATCAAAACGTTTACTGTTCCACTTTTGACCAATAGGAATCACTCTCGACGCTGAGCGCGTGACTAACTCAACACAAACTCGTTCCCATGATTCCTGGTCTTGTTCCTTGACCTCACAATTCCCCCGACGCCCTATTGATCACAAATTGTCAGAATGTTTTGATCTGGGAACCAGACTACATGATGTCGAGCAGTATGCTCCCACCACTACCGCTACTACCTGAAACGGGGATGAAAATAAAGCAAACCCTAGGGACGAAGTTGAACACAACCGGCTTTATTGTGATATCTCTCCTCGTTTAAAGAAAATAGTTCGGACTGTTTTATTCAAAATACGATGGTTTTCTTTGGTAAAAATAACAAATTTTCTTATTTTGTTGCGAACGCAGCATGCAAGGTTTACGACGAGGTGAAACTGTGTTGAAATTAGTCAGTTTTGTTTGATTTGGTAGAAAAGTCCAGACGCGTATGAACATATCTGTAAAGCTCACCATTTTTGTGTATGATAGCCTTATCACTCATTATATCGGTTGCTTTCTGCAATTGGCGCGAGGAAGTTTGCTGTGTCGTGCCCAAAGTTCGGACTGCACTCTTTTTTGGTCCACAAAAAAGTATTTTTTTCAGTGAATTTCTCGAATGTACAAAAAACGTGTCTCACTACTCGAAGGCAACAATGTGAGGAAGACTTCTGTGTGGAGTCGTGGATTTTCGTGGAGTATTTCGGTGGGAAATTAGGCGGACTTCAACGGCGAGCCTACGGCCGGGATTCGGTCGGTTGTGCGGACGACTCAACTCACCGTGGATCAAGCGGCGGTCGGATTTCCAAGCTACCGTTGCCCGTTGCTCTTTTGGAATTTTCTCCACCCATGGTTTGCAGTCTGCACTCACTTCTCGGACTTCTTACCTTGCATGTGTCGTGAGTTAAACCTTATATTAAACAGAAACTTTAACTGAACTTCAAGTGAATTTTTGAGGAAAATGAACCTCGGCTGTTGTGCAGACGGCTCACGAAGGATCAAGCGGCGGTCGGATTTCCAAGTTGCCGTTGCCCGTTGCTCCTGGGAATTTTCTCCACCAAGAGTCTGCAGCCTGCACTCACTTCTCGGACTTCTCACCTTGCATGTGTCGTGAGTTAAACTTTATATGCAACAGAAACTTTAACTGAACTTCCAGTGATTTTTTTGGGAAACTGAACCAAGGCCGAGGTTCCCACCCTGTCGCTGCTCGGCGCTCTTGAAATTCGCAGCCCTCCAAATTCTACAACTGGGTTCTCGGACTTCTGTCCATGGAATTGTTGTGAGTGAAACACTGAATGAACTAAAACTTTAACCTAAGCTTCCAGGACTTTGAGGAAAGTTACCTAAACTGTCATGAACTCTGACTTTACATTTGTTTTGTCCAGGACAAACTCATTGGAGTAGGCATAGTATTTTTCAAAATGCGACGAACACTTCAAGATCTGAAGCAAGAAACTGAGATAATTACATGAGTTGAACTATGAACTAAAAACACCGAGAAACATCTTAAACTGTGGAAAGTGTCTTGGAATTTGTGTGTGTGGATTTTTTTCTGTGGAATGTATCATGTGGACAAGTTGAGAATTCATCATTTGGTAAGTCAAAAACAATTTCTGAGGTAAGTGAAAACTTTTTAGAAACTATTCCATGAAATTATTGAAGGCCTTTTCCAAATTCCTCCTTTGTAAAAAAAAAAAAAAACCTCTGTCCCTATTTATGAGTTGTGTCCAGATATCGAGTGTCTAGCTTTACTTGTGCCCTTTGCAAATTCAAAAAAAATAACGGGTATAGGCCCCCTCTTTGAAAATTATACTCCGAGTCTGCCCCCCCCCCTTAAATTACAAATTGCGGGAAAAGGTTGTGTATCCTTTTCATACATGATTCTCTATTTATAAAAAAAAAAACAGAAACAAAATAATCTCCCCGTTTATGAGATTTTGTGTCTATTTTTCGAGTGTCTCCCTTGAACTTTTTGCAAATTCCAAAAATAACGGGTAGTTGAAAAATGTTCTCCGAGTATGTCCCCTTTCTATAACAAATTGCTGGAACAGTTATGTATCTTTATTCAAAATGAATGAGCTCCTTATTTATGAGATTTTGTGTCCAAATGTCGGTGTCTGCCTTTATATTTGTGAATTGCCAAGCCAAAAAAAAAAAAATCTTGTACTTTTTGGAAAGTGTTCCGAGTCTGCCCCCTTTTTAAAAGATAGGTCTAGGCTCCATGATATCCCAAAACCTATGTTCTGTGACCACTCGTAGTTGTAGGCTAAATGATCCTGTTGATGGGGAATTTTCTTTTTCTTTCATACTTTCTCCTTGTAAAATTGTCTGCTATATTTGCAAGATTTTTTGTCCATATTTCCAGTTTGTCCCTGTACTTTTTAACCTAAATAAATATCAACGTGCTTAAAAAATAATGTACATTATGCAAGTTGAAATAATCAGGTTCCAATATTTAAAAACCTAGTTCTGTGGTTATTTTTATTTTGAGCTTTATAAAAAACAGGGTCTATATTTAATATGCAATCCAAGTTGCCCCTCTTTTACATTCCAAAATTAATTGGCCCTCCACTTCAGGACCTTTTTTTCTGTAGCCAAGTCAAAATGTTTTTGTCAACATGACACGAGGTATTGATTTTCCTCCCCGTGGTATTGTCTGAGAAACGGGAGGGTCTATTTGGACATGAAAGAGATTCACACCTGTGAATTCCTTATAAGGAGCGTCTGGCCCCTGGGTCGTGTATAAAGTTGTTTGACTCTTGAACCCCCAATCGGCACGTGCCGTGGATGCGCGTTCAGTCCTATTGTTCTCTTGGGCGAAGTTATGTGGCAGCTGGCACGCGCCTTTTATCTCTGAAATAATTCGTCTGGGTCGCACTCTCGGTGATTGACAGATTCTCCACGAGCGCATCAATGTCAAAGTTGACAAGACGTCTTTGGGTCTAATGTTCTTAAAGAAAAAAAACCTTTTGAACCAAATCTAATAATTATATAAGATTCACCAAGCACTCCTTCACTCCTTCACTTTATTTAATTTTCTTCACAATACAACTCGGGATATTTGTAAGATATTTCGAAGTAACTGCAGTTTCTCCTTCAAGACAATAAATGTCTATTTCTGCTCAAGCATGATGGATAAACCCAATTGCAAGAAATGTTATCTCCTTCACAATTGCTGGAAATTTTCCCCCAAGTACTTCCCTGTCAACGGAAAATTCGTCGCAACAATCTTGGACAAAAAGTGAAAGTGGTCGAAAGTGTTTTAATCTCCTTCAGAATAACAGCTCCTCGTCGTCGAACACAGATAATTTTAAGGTCTTCA